GTTCGTCGACGTCAACGTCAACCGACAACACTGCAAGAATTGGCCGTGGCACTGCAAGAGGAGTGGGTCAGATTGACCCAAATCGTGATTGGACGGTTGATTAGGAGCATGCCACAGGGGCGGATCCAGGAATTTTTGCAGGAGGGGGTTGCCAGGTTCCTGAGAAAATGTATACCACCCCCCCTCCCCCTACGGCTGGAAATTTTTTGAGAAATACGTGGTCTCTACATGGCGTATATACATACACATTGAGCTTTTTAAACAGAGAGATCCAACATCCTGTTTGACGTCAATTTTTATTATGAATTAATACGATGACATTGTGATTCAATTTAATTATTGATGCAAAGCATTAATTGTGATATCACATATGTCTATATCATTATCTCGCGCATTGAGTGCCCATCCTTTCGCACTATCTGACGATAAAGGATAAAGCACAAGCTCATAAAAAAAGGTTGTTTTACAAACAAAAAAATATGTAGCTGAGCAGAGGCGTGCCCCCCCCCCCCCACCCCATGGATCCACCCCTGCTGCCACGACGATTTGCTGAATGTCTGAGGATTGGTAGAGCAATTACTCATTATTAAGACAAAAATCAGAAACGTCCATTTTCACTGTGTGGCTCTTTGCGAGTAAAATGGGGCCGTCAGATAAGCCGCCCATATGGAGGCAATTGGCCTGTTACTAACTTACACTGGTTACCTCTAATAAAAACAGCAATGCATTTCCAAAGTTTTTTATTGTTTCTGAATATCCCCTACTTTTTTTTTTGAAGAGTATATGTCAGTTAACCGATTGCTTAGTGGCCAAACATTGAGCTAAAACTACTCACTGCCAGGACGATGATTGGGTAAAACGACAGAACGGGTGACCAGTGTTCGGTTGTATGGTGGCTGATTTAGGACATTTAGGACATATTTTTCTCCTGCGCGCCAGTTACTTATGTCGGCCTGAACATTTAATTATTTCTGAAACGGTATGAGGCAATTAAAGGTCACAATATTCTTCTTCAGTGTGCCGTTATCCCCGAAAGTTACCGAGCAAATCCAGATAAAGTTTATATATAGAACGTATCAAACTTATCCCGGAAGAAATCTACAAAGGTATAGCACCAGCAAAAAATTTGAATAGGCATACTTATCAGAAAACATTTATGTTTGGTGGGCTCCGCCGCAGTGGCTCAGTGGGTGAATCAGACGTTGGCTCGCTAATTTGAGGGTTCCGTGTTCGATTCCGGTGTTGGCCGAAAAAGCTCATCGGAATTTTCCGACGCGGTTCCTCCTTGTCAGTATCGCTTGGCAAGGTACAAGGTATAGTCGTTCGGATGGTAAGAAAAACCATGTACACCTTAGTGTGCACGTAAAAGAACCCACGTCACTCGCAATTCGATATGTGTAGAGCGGGGCTCCGCTGTCCGTGCGAAATTTCCCTCATAGCTCATTGTCAGTGGCGCCTGGCAAGGGACAACGTATAGTCGTTCAGATGGGAAGAAAAAAACGAGTTCCCGTCTACACCTTGGTGTGCACATAGCAGAACCCATGGCAGTTGAAATTCGATATAAGAGTAGGCCGCAGCAAACTTTCCCCCATCATACACTGTATGGCGTATGCCCGTCTTCATTGTGTACGATGATAACTTAGAAAATAATTATTTTTTCGTTAAGATTCTTGACAAATAAGGAATATCTGATGGAAGTGATGCCTGGTTGTAATATTATTTCTCGTTATAACTCAGTCAATTTTGGCCGATGTTTTTTTTTTTTAAATGACGTCATTAAATTTGGTCTATTTACCTTATTTGGTCTACCAAACACCTGTCATAAACAGATAGAATTTGATGGATATTTTGACAATGGTAAGGATTTTATCTTTCTGAAATTTATATGCCTTATTTAAATTAGTGAAAAGAAGAAGCCTTTTGAATTTCAGCAATTTCTGTTTATTACGTCTAGAGTTATGGCCCTTGTTTCACTTTATTGAACCTTGTGAACGCTCTAACGCCAAAAGTTATCACCCAATCTTTGTGAAATTTATATGCATGATTTAAGTTAAAGAAGCGAAGAAGCCTTTTAATTTCAATAATTTCTGTTCATTACGTTTAGAGTTATGGCCCATGTTTCACTTTATTGAACCTTGTGAACGCTCTAACCCCAAAAGTCATCATCCGATCTTTCTGAAATTTATATGCATTATTTAAATTAGTGAAACGAAGAGGCATATAGAATTTCAGCAATTTCTGTTTATTACATCTAGAGTTATTGCCCTTGTTTCACTTTATTGAACCTTGTGAACGCTCTAACATCAAAAGTTTTCCTCCGATCTGTATGTGTCATTTAAATTAGTAAAGTTCTAAAGAGAAGAATTTCATCAATTTCCGTTTATTACTTCTAGAGTTATTGCCCTTGTTTCACTTTGTTCAACATTGTTAATGCTCGATTGATGAAAGTTATCATTCGATATGTATGAAATTTATATGGATCATTTAAATTTGTGAAACAGAGGTCTATGGAATTTCAGCAATTTCCATCAATAATTTCTAGAGTTATGGCGGTTGGGAACCTTGTGAACGTTTGAATGACAAAAGTGATCATCTGGTCTGTATGAAATTTATATGCATTATTTAAATTAGTAAAATGAAAAAGTCTGCCAAATTTTAACAATTTCTGAAGATTACGTCCAGAATTATAATCTAATCTGTATGGATGGAACTGTCTTGTAAAGGCCCCCAATTACCTACAAAGAAATAAATATGCGACCGACCTTGCCACCCACCCAGACGATTTAGCTGCTGTGGGCGTATGTTTCGTTGCCTGGAAACCTATCTTTAAAGTGGGGGATCACGTGGCCAGGACAGAGGGCCTGACAAGGACAGCTGTCTAGTCGTTCGGATGGGACGAAAAACCGAGGTCACGTGTACATATTGGCGTGCACGTAAAAGATCCCTTGGCAGTTGTAATTCGATATAAGAGTAGGCCGTAGCGCCGCTGCCCGGGCAAAATTTCCCTCATAGCACACTGTATGGCGTATGCCCGTCTTCATTAACCCAGTTTAGGAGCAAAACAGTAGGACGTTAAACCCCATTTCATTTCATTTTTTATCTTTAAAGTGATGTCATAAAATTGATTTTTATTTTTAAAAAAAAAGGCAAATCTTTGAAATCATGTCAATTAATGATGATGCCAAACGATTAAGTACGTCGTACGGTGCTAATTTTCAAGGTTTTATCAAAATTGATTAGTAACCAGACGTTTTGTGCAACTTTTAAAAAACCCAGGAAATTTTGCCCAGCTGAAAGTTTTTTTTGTTACAACACAACATAGTGTCAAATGAACGGAGTGAGTGAATCAAAGTAAATGAATATTTTAGCCACGAAATTTCGAGGCATAGACTCTCGGAAATGCAGTCTGGCAGTATTTAAGAGATAAATAGTTGTCTACGATATCACCCTTGGTGGAAGTGGACGCAAAACTCCAGAGCTGACCAGATACCGCCTGTCGCCAAATCTCTAGCTTATGCGATAGGAAAGTATCAAACGAACGGAGTGAGTGAATCAAAGTGAATGAATATTCTCGCCGCGTTGAACCTATAACCCAAAACTTTGAGGATCGTAAAAACACTTCTCAAGTTGTTCGCGTGTTCTGGTTTATATAGATAATCTCCTATGAGTCTTTTTTTAAATCAAAAAAAGACGAGTAGGAGATTTTATTTATCACCCAATCTCTTCTTACATGCACAAATAAATAATATGAAATTTATCACACAAGCGATATCTACTGTAGAATGTATTATTGGGTGATAAAGTAGATTTACAGCAGGATGGGTTTAGTAAGAAATCTATGACTGAGTATGAAATGTGTGAATGTAGCTTTTTCCCACGCTTTGAGTGGCTATTTTCTTTGGTTAATCAGCTAGTGGTACCAAAGTGGAAACAAAGAGAGTTTGTTGTTGCCGCTGCTGAAAGATGGAATTCACTCCCAGTTGAACTCAGATTTGTGACTTCTTTGTCAATCATCAAATCTGGATTAAAGACTCATCTTTTCAAAATTCACTACCGAAATTAACAAAAACTTAAGAGCCAAAATACATTTGTATAGAGTTGTATTTTTGCGCTATAGTCACGTTTTTTTTTTGTTTTTTTTTTTTGTTTTTTTGATTTGGGGCCATGTAAATGGACATATTATTTACCAGTCCGTATAGGAATGTAATAATTAAGGTTTGGAGTAGTCGCCCTTTAAGCTTCTGTAGCTTGTTGTAGCAACATTGTTATTAAATTATATAAACCGACAACGTCCACCCTTTGCATAGAGTCAAACATACTATACTATGGTCACCAAAAAACCTTATTGAATGTTACAAACCTCAACAATTCTCAAGGACAACATTTGAAACTCTTTTTCTTTAAATTGGTAGACAAAATAACTCTTCCTCACAGTGAGTTACGTCGTGTCATTGGGAGATAATCAATATTGGAAGTACTGGAGTTTAAACTGTTAGAATATCTGAAGTAATATACATGTTCAATGATTAGTGTGATTAAAGCCTGAATAATGATTATAATTTGCCTGTGTTTGGATCCCAGCGTGGCTCTAGAAGACGTTTAGAGAATTTTCATTCCCGGATCTCAATGATTTCGGATGTTGCTGGCAAGCAAATCCCATGTACAATATTCATGTTTGTAAGAAAATTTCTCACCCTCGCATTGTTCCCGTAATCACAAAAGAAATAATTACCGTATGATACCGGTCAAAGCAAGTGTCTATGAAACGTATAACTGCATTATATTTTATTAAACATTTTACCAGTCACAGAATAATAATCCACTAGTTCACAAAATAAATCAGACTGTGATCAGAAGTTAGGTAAATGAGACATATAATAGATGAACATCATGTCACTGATTTGTTTATTTATGTTACCATTCGGTATATGTAATATTGTATGAGGGTGTGTATATTTAAAACATGCTTAAACACCGAAATATTTTACAATATTTTCTAGGTCCACTATCAATTGCTGTTCCTGGAGAAGTAAAAGCTTACTGGAAGGCTCATCAAAAATATGGAAAAATACCATGGAAAGATTTATTTGCCCCTTCTATCAAAATGGCGAGAGAAGGCGCACCGTTGTCCGCTTCGGCAGCTCGTGGTTTAAGACTTAAGAGCGCTTACTTGGCTGAAAAGCTTAATACAACACTTAAGGAATCATATCCTGAATTGTGGTTAGTATCTTTTGTTTTTGAAATTGGATGACCTTAAAGCTTATGTCTCTATGTAAATCATATTTCAATTATCCATAATATATATTTTTTTTCATGAAACCATTTAAATTTAGGATATGATGAGTAGAATGTGCCTATTTATAACATAATTATTTTTCCTTGTTGGACCAATTACATGTATGTCCCATCCTGTTTCAATGCAACTCAAATACAGAAAACGTGTAAATGAAGTGAAGTGAAATGATATTGGGTTTGACTAACGTCCTATAGAACACGTGTAAAGATAGAAGAGTGTCGGGTAGATACACAGTATTCTACGGTGACCTATTGGTGCCATTTTTTAATTTATACCTATTAAAACTTCTTGCCTGAAATGAAATGAAATTAGGTTATAATGTCCTACTATTCTGCTCCTATACTGGGCTAATGAAGACGAACATACGCCATACGGTGTGCTATGAGGGAAATTTTGCTCGGGCAGTGGCACTATGCCTACTCTTACATCGAATTCCAAATGTCAAGGGATCTTTAACGTGCACGCTAATGTATACACAGGGCCTCGGTTTTTTCGTCCTATTCGAACGATTAGACAGCTGTCCTTGTCTGTCATAACATCAAAGTCAGGGGAGGGGTAAAGTTTCAGTACATCAACATCTTGACTAAGTTCGATGATGAGCAGTTTGATTCTTTGATACTTTGGAGCTCGACAGTTTGATTGTAATTGAGTGAGAATGGTGAAACGTGGCATATAATATCATCACTATAATACTTTGACTAAACTCGAATACCGTGACTAAGTTCATTGATGAGCAATTTGATTGGTCGAGACTTTGGAGCTCGACAACCCTGATTTTAATTGAGTGAGAATGTTGATCGTTACATCAATACCGTGACTAAGTTCGAAACAAACGGGGACTATTAAAATTCATCTGTTTGTCTGTCACCTTTGGGAACATATTTCTACTCACATTAAGCATTGATAAGCAAAATGGTCGATGCTTTGTAAAAAGAAAAATATGCAATTGTGTGTCCTCCAGTTACTTTTTAAATATGCCAGGGACATCAGCTCATCACTGTTGGCTTGTTCTAGTACCGTAAACCTTTGTCTCCGCTGTGTAAATATTTTCTCCGCGGTAGAAACCTCTTCTCCGCAGTGGAAATATTTTCTGGTGCAAACCTTTTTCCGGGGTGGAAACCATTTTTCCGACATGTAGATATTTTCTCCGCGGTGGAAACCTTTGTCTCCGCTGTGTAGACATTTTCTCCGCCGTGGAAACCAGTTCTCCGATATATAAATATTTTCTCCTCGGTGGAAACCTCTACTAGAAAAAGGTATAAATAAATGAACGGTATCAATAGAACACCATGTTATCCGTTTTTGTTTTGTTTGTTTGTTTTTTTGTGTTTTTGGGGGTTTTTTTTTGTTTTGTTTTGTTTTTTTTGAAGGGGGGCGGGGGGGGGGGGTCTTATAAAACTCCCCTATGGAAATCCATTAGGTATTAACTAATTCTATTATTAGTAAAGACTGACGTTTTGTAACATGATATGCATCCTTATAGTCAACATATTTAAACGGATACGCTGAGATGACTACAGATGATATAAAAAGAATTCAAACTAACACTAAATAGAATCATTCACCGCTTAATTGTGTTTGCATACCTAAACATAAGTATACCAATTATAACATAGATTATCTGACACAAGTGAAATTTAAGTTCGCAAAATCTTGGAGATTGTTCTCGGCCCGCACTGGGAATCGAAACTGGTGTAGCGAAACACCTTCAGACTCTTTTCAAGTGATAACATATATATGTGTAATACATGTTTTATTGTTATAATTCTTAAATTTTACCAGTATGTCATCTTTAAAGGGACAATAACACTTTTGCTGGCTTGAAAGCTCCAGAAAATAAATAATATCTCTATCTAAGTACTAGATGTTTAAGTGTCCTACCTGTTATGTAAATTATCCATTACATCCTATTTTTCTTGTCCAGAGGGTTCGAAAATATTTTTAAATCGAAGTTTCATTTGAAAAGGTTTACGTTAGACGTTTCAAACCATTATGTTGATTTTTTCAAAAATTTTAAATAAGGTGCGTTAAGATGAAATTTGTATCATCAATTAATTGAAATATTCTAAAATAGTACAATTTGTTGACCAGAATAAAGATTGGGACATATTATTCAGTTACAACAAGGGTGGTATTGAGCCTTTAAGTAGTGTAGACTGGTAACTTACAACTGATTACTTTTCTTATTATTATACTGTCGTTTATGCACCTTCGAGTCCAGGAGCTAATGACAAATTAAAATGGTCATCAGTTACAAAGAGTTTGAGCCCCCACCCCCAGTATGCAGTGGGTGTCCATACAAGTAAAAGTCATTTGGTAAGACCGGGCATTGCTGGGGTATATAGGCACTGCGGCATCTTAAAATACCCGTCATGGGGCAAAAATTAGGTCTTAAGTTACATGGCTGAAATTTTCTATAGCAGGGTATCCATAGCTGGAATAAATATTTCACAAATCTCACCAACATTTCCGAGGCTTCCCCCACGTCAGATCACGCCTAATATCTTCTCACGGCGCTCATAATATAGTCATCAGTTACATGGCTGAAACTTAACAGAAACAAAGGTCCATAGTTGGAAAATATAATTTGACTTGGAGAAAGCCCCCAAACATTTGGTTAGATTTTTGAAAATTATATTTTCCATGTGTGGATCTTTGTTTCTGGTAAGTTTCAGTCATGTTACTGATGACCATATTATTAGCCCCATTTTTAGGGTGTGGTCGGATAGACGTTAGAGCGATCTAACTCGGGAAAAGCCCCAAATTTTAGGTTAGATGTTTGAAAATTATGTTTTCCAAGTACGGATCTTTGTATCTGCTATAATAATATAATTTACTATTTAAACGACATTCCATAGAACTGTTGTATTTAATTTACCGTGTAATTGGCGGAGAGCTGTCCCAAATTTAGAGCGGAATTTGAACTAAAAGGAGAATACATGAAATATATCATGCGTTTCGGTCACTGATACGACACCGTTATTTTATTCAAGAAAATATATGTAGCTTGAACATTGAATTACTAAAGAAGCTGTGGAGAGTGACGATGTAAATTGGATATTAACTAAACGACAGCTCCCTGAGGATATCAGAGCGTGAATAGAAGCTCTATTAGTTTGCAGCGTCTTGTATAATGTAATCAATGATTTAAAATAAACCATAAAAACCTAGATCCCCAATTCAATACTATATTTTAGGTATCATCATCATCGCCGTGACAACAACAATACAAACAATACATGTAAAAATTATAAAATATAATATTCGATGAGTCATTTATTGACCAACGAAACCTTTAACTTCACAGGGTGTAAAGGGTGGTGTGCTCGACTGGTCATATCTTTTGGTAGAGATACCAGCCAGTACTCGATCTACGTGGGGCAAATTTGGACAAATGCCCCCCACCCCACCCCACCCTGCTCCGCATTTGGGGGCCCTCCACATTTTACGTTCTGAATTGACTTAACTTCGAAACTTGATCGACTTTTGACTAAAGGTTTCTCAAATAGAAACTCTCTCAAAAAAATGACTGACTGGGATTCGTACCTTGATTGAGGTTGGGAACTTAAGTTTACTATTTATATTATTTTTTTACGCCCACATTTTCATGTGGACGTTTATTGTCGTCGCCCCCGTCCGTCCGTCCGTCCACAATTTGTTTGTGGACACTCTACAGGTCACAATTTTTATCCGATTTTGACGAATCTTGAAATATAGGTCTATCTCCCAAAGATCTTGGTTCCTTTCGATATTGGCGTTATTTATCTGATTTTAAAAAAACATCATGGATTATGGCCCCTGATTGTACGAAAAATCACGTTTCAGCTCGTGGACACACTAGAGGTAACAATTTTGATCCGATTTTGATGAAACTTGAAATGCATGTTTATAACCCAAAGATCTTGGTTCCTGTCGATATTCGCGCATATCGGATCGTAACTTCTTGAATCGCGTGTTTAGCTTGTGGTCCCTCTAGAGGTTGGATTTTTAAAAAAACGTTTTAGTATATCACCGTTACACCCTAATGCTGGTTGAGTTCGAATTTCGTGAAAATCGGACCAAAACTGCCGTACAAAATGGCCGCCCCTTGTACGCAAAAATAGTGTAAAAATATGGTATATCAAGGTTGTGGACCTTCTAGACGTCACAGTTTTTATCCGATTTGGATGATACTTTAAATATGTTTTTATCATAAAGATCTTGGTTCCTTTTGATAATCACACACATCCGAACGTAACTTCCTGAATTATGGCCCCTGATTGGTCGAAAAATCGCATTTTTAGCTTGAGGATTCTCTAGAGGCGACATTTTTTCCGATTTTAAAAACCGTTTAGATATATTACCATTCCACCATAAGGAAGGTTGAATTCGAATTTCGGGAAAATCGTAATGAAACTGTCTGACAAAGTGGCCGCTCTTTGTACGCAAATCGTGTATAAGTATGTAGTACAAAGGTTATGGACCCTTTAGAGGTCACAATTTTTATCCGATTTTTATGAAACTTCAAGGGACAATAACACATAACACTCTTGCTGGCTTGACAGCTCCAGAAAATAAAAAATAGCCTTATTCTAAGTACTAGATGTGTTAGTGTCCTACCTGTTGTGTAAATTATCCATTAAATCCTATTTTACTTGTCCAAAGGGTTCAAAAATATTTTTAAATCCAAGTCACATTTGAAAAGCTTTACGTCAGGCTTTTCAAATCATTTAGTTGAATTTTTCCAATTTTTTAAATTAGGTGTGTTAAGATGAAAGTTGTATCATCAATTAATTGGAATATTGTAAAATAGTACAATTTGTTGACCAGAATAAATATTGGGACATATTATTCAGTTACAACAAGAGTGGTATTGAGTCTTTAAAGCGTATCTTTATATTCCAAAAATCTCAGTACCTTTTGATATTTGCGCATTTCAGGCCATAACTTTCTGGATTATGGCCCCTGATTGTACAAAAAAAAACGTTTTTGTTTTTAACTTGTTCTCTATCCATCTCTTGCAGAATGCTGGCGTATCCTGCCTGACAGCCGCTGGTTTAACTCGTGGTACTCGCCCAGAATATACCTCAGACTGCGCCAAATCAAATATATTTTTCATAATTTCCTAGGGCAGGCCACCCCGCCGCCACCCACCGCTGGGTATTCGCGCCGCACTGGTCCCTACGCTTTTTTCTTAGTCCCGCCCCCCTCCACTCGCCCCCCCCCCCCCCAATCCCGATTGACTTGTCTCCTGCCCCCGGCCCCACATGGTTAATCCTACCCTTTACCAGCTAGGAATATTTTAAGTATGACTACTAATGTGTAGTACGCTATATGCTTCCTTTGTCTCAAAGTTCGTTGACGGTGATTTTGTTTAAGGTTATTTTCCTTAACAAACCATTTAGTTTGTAGGAGCTTTACATAACTGGCTGCTTTTGGTGGAGTCCTGTTACGTAAACAAAAAGGTTGTACAATAGGGCGTTTGTTTAATATTGTCGGTTCAAGGTGGCCTTTAATACATCTTTAGTGATTACTTCGTAAGTTACCTTTCTAAATCAGTCGTAAAACATCCCCCCATCACTAAATTGATGGACATCTAAAATTTAGATATATATTCCTTTGCCGAACACGATTGTTTTTATGTTAAGGGCACGGTAAAGTCACAAAAATTGTCACATCACCTGAAATAGGGGGGGGGGGGGTCCTCAAACACCTTTCGTGCCTTTGTTTCGTGTCTAGATGTGCTTGAGAGTGACACTGAACAATAAAAAAAAATAGATGAAAATAAAAAAATAATGACTTTGGAATTGATAACTTTGGAAAATATGAAGCAAATATAGAATTCAGCAAAACATGGGAAATCACAAAATCTCACACAGATGCCTGAATATATACACTACAACCATCAAGACTTCAAATTTTGAAAACTGTCTTTGTTTTAGCACACCAATTCCATATAATCAAGGGACTACTTTCAGACTTTTTGTAAGGTACCATCATAAACATCATTTGCATTAAATATTTCGGGTCTGTATCACAATACTGCATCACAATTTCCATGAAACTGCTTTTGTTTTCAGCAATTTTTATAATGAATACTGCGGTCGCCTTTTAGTACCGTACCTTGATTTATACAATTTTCTTGAAATTTACATCATATGAGAAATCGCAGTGAAAACTATTACAAATAAAAAAAACCATGAAAAATCTTTTCTCCGCGGTGTAAACCCTTTCTCTTAGCGGTGGAGACCTTTTCTCTCCGCGGTGGAAACCTTTTCTCCTTGGTATAAAGTTTTTTCCGCGGTGTAAACATTTTCTCCTTGGTATAAAGTTTTCTCCACGGTGTAAACCTTTTCTCCGCGGTATAAAGTTTTCTCCGTGGTGTAAAACCTTTCTCCGCGGTATAAAGTTTTCTCCGCGATGGAAACCTTTTCTCCGCGGTGGAAACGTTTTCTCCGCGATGGAAACCATTTCACCACAGAGAAAAGGTTTCCACCGCTGAGAAAAGGTTTACACCGCGGAAAAAAACTTTATACAGCGGAGAAAAGGTTTCCACCGGGGAGAAAAGGTTTTCGTTTACACGATAACATGCGGATGTACGATTTAAAGGGATATTGACAGTGAAATAATGTATTGTGGGTAATATAGGTTATTTTGGATTTTTGTATCCAAGGGCCACTATTCTGTGTTGGAAAAAAATATGTTCAGCCTTGTTGGTGTCGAGACTATTTTGCATCAAGATGGTGCCAATTAATCTTCACCTTAAAATCCATACATAATTAAGGAAAAAAAGAAAAAAAAGTAAATTCTCATAAAACTGGTGACTTGACTATCATTGTTCATTAAAAAATATCACAATTTCTTTTACGTCAAGTTGTATGTAATACACTTTGAGTTTACCAGTTTCAAATGTAAGCAAACATGAACCGTACTATTTTGTAATTAAGCATATCCTAAATGACATGTGAAATCAATAGAAACCAATGTATACTGAATTATATTTGGACCACAGTTTGTTTGTTAAATGGATTAGAAACTCTAAATTCTGGCAGTTTCCGGATGGAAGAAAATAACAAGTTTATGGTAGTGTAGCAATTAGATAATTATAGTATCTTTAAACCCTTTATGCACGCATGGTATGAAATATTTATTAACCAGAGGCGAAAAATATTTTTTATGACATGCCATGAAACAAAGCCACCAATCTGCAATTGCTTACCTATACATTTATATCAAAAATTCATTACTTAATTGCTTGTTCACCTTGAAGACTATGGAGTCGAATGCACGACATATTCTAACTGTCAAACTAGTAAGGAATGTTTATTTCTATGCGTGTAAATTGTAGTACCATGGGTTTTCTGTCAGATGTGGAAAGCGGCCATACCCTCAAAACCGGTCGCCACATCCGGCGTCGACCCATGCACTCTTTTCTTACAACATATCTTGGAACAGCCCTTGATCGTCTAGTATTGTCTCAGCGTGTATCTGATCTGTTTCTCTCTTTCTTGGTTAGGACCCTTTAAATGTTTCTTTAAAATCTCACGTTGTGTATATCTTTTTATCGGTCCCAAAATATCCTATGATTAACAAACACGATGTCAGGAACAAAAGTGCGGTTTCTACAGTTTTATATCAAGCTTGATACATACATGTATATTACAAGCATAGATCAACCCAGATGTTGCCACTTGAACCTCAACAGTCTATCCCAACAGCATGGTGTTTGCTCTCTTAAATCTACATGGTTATCTGAAGAATCGCCCAGAGCTCAAGCATTTCGTATGCCTTGCATTTAGTTATCTATTATTTAATTGGTCAAATATTACGTAATTAATTATGATTATTGGTTACTAAGCCTAATGTCCATATGACTAAGCCAAATATGGAATGGACATGTCTCATACCTTTCATACCAATATGTGGCATATGACAAATGTGTTTATTAATTTAAGTTCAATTCATGTAGATTTCTGTTGTTTCAGGTGTTATTTTGCTTACCTATGAATCTGTAAACTATAATTAGTCTAGGTCATCTTATTATTATACATATTATGTGTTCTTTTGCACAAATCCTGCAATCCATATACAAAATGGACTATTTTCACATACAAAAATGCTTATCTATTTGAGATATTTCTTAAATATTGCATTTTGATTTTGTTCTATTTCCATTATTGCTTTAAATCTATTGTTAATTGTTTTTGTTTAAAGCAGTTCGTAGTGAGTTTAATTTCGTAAACGGTTTGACATTTTACAAAATGCGACATAATTCTAACACTCATTATGATAACGGGTGGCGCTGTTTTAAATTATATGGTGGCTAATAGTGGCAATATTATGTCGAAATTAATATTATGCTAGCAATATGATTAAAATACAGATCTATATTCCGTTTCGTCTTTTTATACTTTCGATGGCCTCTACTACATGAAGATCTGAAAAATTATTCCGAACTGAAGCAATTTTTTTCTGCGGTCCATAACTTCCTTGACATCTCCCAAAGATTCTGAATGAATGCATGAATGAATGAAATATGAAACTTTTGATTGTGGTATGTACATAGTATGTATATAGTGTATATAGCCATCTAATTAATTTGATCATACTTTACTTCTCTCATATTTATGTTTGTATTTTATGGAGAGGGGGTCTATAAGCTGCTGCCTGTTCGCCAATCCAGTTTCTGTGAATAAATAGTGTTTATAAAAAATCCTGACCAGTTGTATTGTGAAGTCATGATTGGGGTCATACAAGAGGCCTTTGGCCCTATGACGTCAGACATTTGATTAACCAATCAGCGATGATGTTTCTAGTAGGATACCCACAGTCCAGTGCATCGCACACCAAGAACCCGCTGCAACAGGCCGTTTTATTGGCTAACCAGAACGCGGGTTATATAACAACTCCTCCAGATCGAAGTGTAGTCAAGACAAGTAAAACGAAATTTTGAACTAAAAAAACCGAAACGAAATAGGATCTGTGTTTTAATCAAATTGTTATGCTAGCAGCTCATTCCTAAAAGTTTGAAGTATAGAGAGTACCAGTATGGTAATTTACGTTTGACAAGAATCATTAAAGTCATGGGTAACAATTCAGTACTATCCTAAAAATCTATCTGAACATATCAACAGTCACATAAGTCAGACAGGCGCATAAATCTTAGTTTCTTCTAATGTCAAACTACTCAAAATCAACAGGGACCATTTCTATTTCCATACTGGCTGTGCATGCAAACTTGTTTAAATGTGGTGAAGAATTGTAGAGTGAGTAGGAGAACAGTGATGTACGTTTATCACCAATCGTAAAAAAAAACCCACCGTTATCCCAATACGAACCATGTTAGGAAACTTGATGGAAATCTGTGAAAACTGTTTACAGTGAGATTAGTACATGGCAGTTCGACCTCCTTTTGCAATGGTTAATGTATTGGGCTAGAAATTCCTAGCTTATAAATTATATTACGAGGTACCGTATAAATAAGATATATTGTTAAACTTCACAATGAACGCCAATAAAATGACAATATGGTCACCACACCGATGGTACATTTATTCTTATTTTTAATTTCTACAATTTCAGTAAAATTTTCTGTGATGAAAACGGTGAAATATTAAAAGAAAATAGTACAATATATAGAGGCACATTTGCTGAAACGTTACAGGGTTTAGCCGATGAAGGTCCAGATTACTTATATAATGGGGAAGGTGCAAGAAAACTTATAAAAGACATCAAAAAATTCAGTAAGTTATTCATTATATTCTTTATTGCCGCCAACAGTAGACTAATGTAATAACAAAATATGTACATGGCACTTATTCCCATTGTTTTATTATGTGATATTGATGTGATATTATGAACAAGTTGGTCAAATTAGGTTATTTACATATCAAGGCGTAATATACTATTCAAAAAAAGTAGGGGATATTTGATTTTGGGGGCATAATACTAAAATATGCAAATGACTACGAAAAAAGTCACTATAGAACCTAACAGAAGAAACATTTCCAGTTACATGTGACGCCCAAACGCACCAATAGCTACCGCATGGAATGCAGGTGATGCTTGGGATCATCATGGGGGTCCAACCCAAGATTTGCACGACTCTGACTTTGAATGTTACAGTCATTGTGGCATTGAATTCCAGGGTGGAAACATCAGTTTAATTGTTTTAGTGACCAGAAAACAAATTTTGATATGCGTCGGCTTACCCAAAATGAAAGGTTACGTGCCCTTGGCATGCTACAGATCGGCACAACACAGGCGGTTGTGGCGCGGACGATGAATGTTTCTCAGTCTGTCATAAGCAGGCTATGGTCCAGATACCGTGATACACAATCTGTACAGGACAGACCACGCTCAGGTCGACCAAGGGCGACAACTCAAGCCCAGGATCGATTTATCCGTACCTTGGCCTTGAGAAATCGTGTCATCACAGCAAATCAGATCAGCGCTCGTCTTCAAACAGACACTGGTGTGAGAGTGAGTGGCCAGACGATTCGGAATCGACTGCATAGGGGTCACCTTCGCGCCCGACGTCCTCGCGTGATCCCTTGTTTGAGAGATCATCACATTCAGGCAAGACGTCGTTGGTGTAGGGATCGTCAACACTGGGATAATCGACGCTGGAGCAATGTGATGTTTTCAGATGAGTCAAGGTTCACTGTTGATTTTTTGGACAGACGTAGGAGGGTGTGGCGTCGTCGAAACGAGCGCTTCCAAGACGTTAACGTCATCAGACATGATCGATTTGGGGGTGGTTCTGTTATGGTGTGGGGAGGCATCACTGTTGCTGGAAGAACGGCTTTACATGTTGTTGCAGGGCGTGTTACAGGCCAGTACTACCGGGACAACATCTTGGCAGTCCATGTTGTGCCGTTCGCACGACGTCATGGCCGCCGTTTCATCTTCCAGGATGACAACGCAAGATGTCACAGGGCCAGGATCGTTACAGGTTACCTCCAATAACAGAACATCACCACATTACCTTGGCCAGCACTGAGTCCCGACCTCTCCCCCATCGAGCATGTCTGGGACATGCTTGGACAGAGGTTACGTCAACGTCAACAACGTCCTGCCAATGTCCAAGAACTTGCTGCTGCGTTGCAACAGGAATGGGACAATCTGGACCAAAATGACCTTAGACGTCTCATTAGGAGTATGCCACGTCGGATCAATGCTTGTTTGGCAAACAGAGGAGGATTTACCCGTTACTGACTTGGTTGTGATGCTGTGGTAACTTTGCTGTTTGACCCCGGGTATCATTTTACCCTTATAATGGTCAGTCTGTGCCTTACTTAGTCTAACGATCATTTGGAATAAATCGATGAATGTGAACTTCATTTCATTTTGTCATTTGTTTCTTCGTCAGTTTCATTAGGTGACTTTAATAACACTTAAAAATCAAATATCCCCTACTTTTTTTGAATAGTATATTAAAAAAAGGAACGATGTAAGGGTATAACTAATCGGTTTGCTGTGTTGATTGAATTTATCAAGGTTGTGAGATACTTAAATGTATAGCAGACTCCTCGATTAAATAAATTACGGGGAAATAACTGTTGTCAGAATGATGTTAAATGGACAGCGAGTAACGACAATTACAATCTAAAATTGGACTCCACCTCAATCGAACCACTCGACAAACAAGTTTTGCGACAGTTCCTTACGATTAAAATGTTTTGAGGGGGATCTGAAGCAAACTTTTGATAAAGAACTTAGTTTGAATATGTTTTTAGTCCAAACATATCATACACATGGCACAGTTTGTACGTCGAAAGGCATCTTTAGATAATTTCAAAAATGTTTTGATTTAATTATTTTCAGATGGTATTTTGACAATGGATGATTTAAAGAATTATAAATTAAAAGACATACAAGCTATATCTTATCAATATGGTAATATAACAATGCACACATTAGGTGCTCCAAGTAGTGGACCTGTTATGGGATTAATATTAAAAATTATGGAAGGTAAAGGTTTGGTTTTTAATTCGTATGTCAATTAATTATATGGCAGCAGATGTGATTAGTTGCTCTAGTAAAAAACGTGAACATCAAAGGTTGAAATTACAATTTTAATAACATCAAAATCCTACTTTATCTGTCATCTGAAAAGCTGTGCTTTCCAAAAGAACGAAATTTGAACCAAACACAAACCGTAACAATTTCTTAATAGTACTGATCTATTGCTATATTAACAGGTTTTAACTTCACGGCCGATGATTTATCAAGTTTAGATAAAAAGGCAGCTATGTATCATAAAATGATAGAATCTTTTAAATTTGCGTACGCTGATCGTTTGAAATTAGGCGACCCATTGTTTGTCAACTTGAAGGATGTAAGTATTCACCTCTTTCATTTGTTTAATTATAAAAATCTTTCATAAACGAGTCTCCTAGATTCATTTTTTATTGTTTTTGTTGTGGTATTTAGATGGTATTCAAATGGAAACCTCATTTTATGGAAACGCAATGAAATTGGCTTTACCTCCTGCAGGACAGTCTGGGTTAAAGAAGACCTGTAAACTTCGCGCAGTCTTCTATGGGGGACATTTTTCACAGACCGCAGTCTTACCATTTTCCTCTTCATAGAAGTCAACGGTATGTCAAATAATAAACGATGGACCTCGGTTTTCCGTCCCCTCCGGACGAATAGGCTCTGCTTTTATTTAATTTTGCCAGGCCATCAATCAAAGAACATCCTCGGCCTACTTTTGAACTCCTGGCTAGTGAGCCAGCACCAAGCTCATTGACCCACCGCGGCTCTGCTCTAATACCGCTCTTTTGACAATTTGAACCGAAGTTATCGTCATGGGTGTAAACGTCGTGTGTTACCAGATGTAAATAAAACAGAATATTATGTATATTGATAAATGTGAACTAATTGTTCTTCAATATTACATTTTCAAACGAGCCTTCCTGCAATTATAATGATTTCTTTGTGAAAAATTTTGTGAGTCACAAGACTAAGTTCGCCTTTGACGATGATAATGTTTATTATTGGCATATCACACTATCTTCTCGTAAAATTATAAACAATTAAATATGGAGTCTCATTGTAAACTAGAAAACGGATATCACGATCAGCTTAAATGGTCGCCAAAGTTGGCGGTGATTTTGTTGTCCATTGGTTGGCATGAGATCTCGTAGTAACTGCAAACAGGACATGACTGGTTAATCATTGTTTGACGTAATAAGGTAGATAGATATGTGCAGTGTTATGATTAAGCATTTTTCTTATCTAACAAGGAATTGAAAAGGGGTTTAACGTTCTACTACTCTGCTCCAGGTTAGCGAGCCAACGTCCTACTCACCGAGCCGCCGCGGCCCCCTTTCTCACAAAGGGGAGCCGATAAAACATTAGGGTATGGAATGTGGTCTTACATGTATATCGCCGTCACCCTAGTTCTTTAATCCTTCGGTACAATTGCGGCAATGGGTGGCCGAATAGTCCTACGCTTGCGTTTTAGATCACAAGGTCTGTTATTGAATAAAGTGGCGTGTTTTCAATTCCTAGCTTCTACACAGTCGATTTCTATGTCCCTTAGACTAATACCAAGAACCGATTGCCGCAAAACCAGCAAAGGCGAAGAAACGCACCTGTGATAATTTTGTGCTGCCACGAAAACGGTACCGATATACTATGCTTGTCTCGGCATAACAATATCACCAAGTATGGATCTATCGCAAGTCGACGTGCACCTGTTACCGCTCTCTACTTAAAGATGCATTATGTAAGAACTAAATCTGCAGGGGGTTTTTTCTGATGTTATATAAATTATTAATTAAACAATTATTAATTATTACAAGCTCATAATCAACGCTCAGGATGGCTCCGATTTTAAGAGGGGGATCACGTGGCTAAGAGGGGGATCACGTGGCTAAGTGGGTAAGACGCTGGCTCGCTAGTCTGGAGGTCGGGTGTTCGATCCCTGCATTGGCCGAGAAAAGTTCATCCAGATTTTCCGGCGTGGTTCCCCCTTGTCAGTGATACAGGACGGAGGGCCTGACAAGGACAGCTGTCTAGTCGTTCGGATGGGACGAAAAACCGAGGTCCCGTGTACACATTGGCGTGCACGTAAAAGATCCCTTGACAGTTGGAATTCGATATAAGAGTAGGCCGTAGTGCCGCTGTCCGGGCAAAATTTCCCTCATAGCACACTGTATGGCGTATGCCCGTCTTCATTAGCCCAGTTCGGAGCAGAACAGTAGGACGTTAAACCCCATTTCATTTCATTTCATTTCCGATTTTAAGAGCCATTTAAAAGTTTAACGAAAAATTGATAATCGAGACGAAGTCTCGGTTGTCAAGTACCGTTGCTACGATAACAATCAAAACTTCCAACACTCATAACTTTGCACAGAATAAAGTACAGTAAATTGACCTAAATTTTCAATATATTCATATTTCATTATTATGGCAAGAACCGCAACTCTGTATCAAATACATCATGTATCTTTAAATGAAAACCATAATTGGTCTCCTTTATTTACGAAGCATCCGGAACATGAGCATGGACGTTAAGGATAACCCATAGCAACATCTTTAGTTTAAAATTGCATTTTGAATCTGTTTTACCCATTCCATCATATATCTAAGATTGATGTTAAGTTACCCAGTTCAGTAATTATTACAATCACTTCCAAACGGCTCAATATTTGGAATTTAAGCGTTTGGTATGCCCACTGTTATTACACCACACCCACGCGCTCCTATTTGTGGAATTTAAAAGGAGTCTAATTAACTTTTTTAGTGGATGAATAAAATGGTCTCACCGGAATATGCCAACTTTTTACGTCAACAAATAGACACCAGTTTTACCCATAATACAACTTATTATACTAATTTAACTAGTGGTAATTGGGATAGTCACGGTACAACGCATATTTCTATAATAGGACCTGATGGAGATGCTGTAGCAGTTACATCAACCATTAACTATTAGTAAGTAGTGAGAATATTGTTATTAGTACAGCAATGCCAGGAACTTGGCGTAGTTTAGCTATTGTTCTAATAATCAGCTATCTTCGTTAGACCAGAAATAGCGGTTCCGCTTGAAAACACCTGTAGAATGTTTAAAACACCTGTAATCGATTGAGTATTCCTTGCTCGCTAATCTAAGACATTGATGTTAAATTACTAAAGGCGAATTTACTAAACTCGAAACTTGTTTGGAAGACGGCACCTCGGCAAATCCTTAATTCATTACTAATTGTAGACCGATTAACACAGTTTCTGTATAGTACAATTATATTTTCAAACCGAAATTACGAAACAATGACCACAGACAGTATTTATGGTTCAGAAAATATATGCCCAGGGTTGTAAAAGAGATTTTCGGGAAATATGAGAATTCTGGTGTTACCAGAGTAATAATAAATTGTTCTTACTGAAGAACATTGGGTTTTATGTATATATAATCTTTTCATAATTTTAAAAGAATTCAATACCAGAAAACAGTTCATGTTGTTAGCAAATCAAATATTGATTGGAATATGTAACTTATATTACATTGTTAATAACGAGATTAATTATTTTTATATCGTACATTGTTTAGTACTGTATTGTATATCATGCATGCCCTCCACTTAGTCTTTAGAGAATAATTACCTTGAAAATAAATCGGGTTCTTTATCGCATAAACATACATAAACACTACATATAAATTTAAAGGCGATCAAATTTTAGTGATAAAGGAGCGCGTAACCCCAACAGTAAATTAGCTTCTAAAGACTGAGGTTATCATCCGATTGCTTTGATATTTATACTCAGTGTTAATATTCAGGAGACGAAACAGCTTAAAGCAACATTATATTTCGTGGTCTGACAACCAATGTTTTAAGGACTAGGGCACCATATCCAAGAGAGTGTGGCTTACTAAACCGCATTCCTTTTCGTATCATGAACGAAAACAACTGTTTATAATTTGATTATGAAAACAATATTGACGTGATATACTGACGCTTTGGATTTTTATTTAAGGAACAGTTAGTTTCAGAATCCTCTTAATTAGTGCATTGTGATAATTCCATTACGGGTATAAATGGTTTAAATCTGTGATCTTTGCTTTTGACTACTTGGTTCTAGGCACATAAAATACAATATTGCGTTTGACTACGTGATTCTACTCATACGTGATTCTACTCACATACAATACTATTGGTGATTACGTGATGATACTCAGATACACATACACAGATTTTACTGACATAGACATACAATGGTGCTGTTGACTACACGATTATACTCACATAGTTCTTAGACTGCAATGTAGTGCTGGAACTAATCTAACTTTAATGTTTGTGTTTTTTTGTTTTTTTTAGCTTCGGGTCATTATTATATTCTCCATCAACTGGTATTATATTGAACAATGAAATGGAGGATTTTTTTTACCCTGATACTACAGTTCCGGATCAACTTAATGTACGTTACGTTTAATCAATTGGCTTCTGTTATCAAAGAAGCAGTATCTCTTTCAACAAGGGAGTAAATGTAATTAATTGAGACATGCGTTAATATTAAGCAAAGAGCATGTGTTGAACAATTTAAACCCATGATATCTTCTACTGAATAACTTGGTGATGTTTTAAAGAGGCCTTTCCGTGTACAACCCGTGATTTGTTGATATATTTGAAAAAAAAAACATATTCAAACTAATTGATCTATCAAAAGTTTGCTTCGAAACAATCTCAAAACATTTTAATCACAAGGAACTACGCCAAATCGTAATGAGAGGTGGTTCATATTTAGCTTGTATTTGTTGTTACATTTGCCATAAATATCGAAGCCTAAGTATATTCTTGGATTAACCTCTGCCAACGTCTTTTTCCGTCGTCTGTTGCACGTTTAAGCTCCGCACTGTTCTCCCAACAGCTAGCCATTCGATCAACACATACAAAGCTCTTCCTATACATAGTTGGAGCTGAAGACAAGCCCATGGGTTGCCAGTAATATCCTTACATTTTTGTACGGAGCTCGTCTCTAGTATGACTTGATGTATCTATTATCCATAGCTACCCTATAAATACGTTCGCGCTAATATAGCCTATAGTTAACACTATTTCGTCTTGTAAGTGTGTCTCAATTAATACCGTATTGAAATACCCGATGAATGGTAATATGGCAGTGAAGAAATACATATCGCTGCGAGCGACGTATTAACAGTACTCTATACTCATCTATATGGAGTCACTGGCCAGCGAAGATTCCAAAACGCTGATGCCTCTTTAAAGGGACAATAACACTCTTGCTCCAGAAAATAAATAATATCTCTATCTAAGTACTAGATGTTTAAGTGTCCTACCTGTTGTGTAAATTATCCATTACATCCTATTTTACTCGTCCAGAGTGTTCAAAAATATTTTTAAATCGAAGTTTCATTTGAAAAGGTTTACGTTAGACGTTTCAAACCATTATGTTGAATTTTTCAAAATTTTTAAATAAGGTGTGTTAAGATGAAATTTGTATCATCAATTAATTGAAATATTCTAAAATAGTACAATTTGTTGACCAGAATAAAGATTGGGACATATTATTCAGTTACAACAAGAGTGGTATTGAACCTTTAAATAAAACCTTTGTTTTTCTTAATTCAACGTTCGTGTGTTGTAACTTAAAGGGGCGTCGTATTACAGACAGCTTTATGTTTGTGGTGGTCTTTATTTGAATCTTTTAAGGTTAACAATAATAATGTTATTCTGTCTGTTTCAGTCACAAAGCTCAAACTACGTAGCTCCAGGGAAAACGCCATTGTCATCCATGTGCCCCGCCATATTTGTAGACAATAATGGTGAAGCTATTTTAGTTATGGGTTCATCTGGTGGGACCAGAATAACCACAGTTAATGCACAAGTTCGTATTAAGACATATTATTCTATTAGTTCGAGCTTTTAACATTAAAATATTTTATGAAGATATACCTATATTTCTTAAATGTAAACAGTGTTGACGTATATTTAGTTGTCTGGTAATCTATGTTAGTAGAAATTGTTAAACAACGCGGGGATTTATTAGACCCACTTTGAAACGTTATCTTATATTTGTTTTTGTCAACCTGGTCCATCCGTCCACAATTCTTTAAGAAACCTCCAGAGGCGACCTACAGTCGGGGCCTTCTAAACTGCATTATAGACCTCCTACCTACACAACCGCTCACTGGAATAAAAATGTACATGATCGCTAAAATAAATAATATTTATTGTTTTGGTACTTCCAACAAAATATTATATTATGTTTTTATTGGCAGCAAATCACTATTACATACATAGATAAGAATGAGGTTCCTATGCTCGTGGTGCCCCGGACAACTGCCCAGCGTGCCCATGAGTTAACACAATTTTGCCTACAGTCATCATTAGATCTTTTTAAACATATGTCCGCATTTTCTATATTAGTATACCCATTATTAATTTTGAGTTACTGGACTTTGAATAATCTTGTGGACGCACTAGTTGTCAAATTTTTCACGGTAGTTATTGCAAACTTAAACCTATGAGAGTGCTGCAGAGGCTAAGGTTATCATCTGATTATCTTTATACGTCATATTTATATTCACGAGAAGGTGAAATATATTTATTTTCATCGATTTCTTATAACTATTTTAGCTCCAGTGCCTTGGAATTTATGCACAATGCATATAATTATTTATGAGATGAAGAAGCCTCGCGATTTCGAACGATCTCTGATAATTACTGTATGGTTTGTTGCCCTTGTCTATATTTTTCAGGTAGCGGCTAGAATTTTATGGCTAGACCAGTCAGTAAAAGAAGCTATACAAACTCTAAGATTTCATCATGAGCTATTTCCTAATCACATCGTATTTGAACAAGCGTATCCTAAGGTTCGTTTAGTATGAAATGAATTTATATTAAAATTATCTTTTTAAATGAAATTTGGATAGGTGTTGGGTCCTCTTATATATATAACTAAAACAACTCCAACTTTACGGCTTTCTATGGCGACGATACACAATTGTGTAACCAGCTAAAGTCACCATAGTATAGTGTATTAAAACCTGGACAGTGTGGTAAGCCAAAGGTCTATAGCATTGGTTGTCTGTGGCGTATCGTATAGAACTTTTGTGTAAACCTATGGTCATTTTTGCTCAGTTTACTTGTCTGATAAAGACAGCTAGGAGAACCCTCGTCGAAACGTCGCCAGAAATAAATTCTTCAATTAACTTGTATTCCATTAACTCATCTTGTAGTCTCAGATCTAAGTCAAAATACAAGCTTGTACACCAGTATTAGCAGCAAGGTCGTTTGCATCTGCAGAACCATTTTATCAGAAAGACAAAAGCCAGCACAACTTAATTAAATATTCAGACGACAAGTACAAAGATGCATTGTCACTTAATTTCTATATCTTAGAAGAAGGGCGACACGTTCAAGAGGCATTGGACCATTCAACAAGAAACTAATTATGGTAAATCCAAGCATCTGGGTGATTCTATATTCTTCAGGACTAGATCTAATGCTTCATTGATATAGTATTCTATATTTTCAGGATGTTGTAAATATACTCCATAATCAATATGGACATGAACATACAGAAAGAACCACACATATGGCAGATGTGCAGGCAGTAGCACGTGACCCTATAACGCGGGAATTTCAGGCTTTCTCAGATGAACGTAAACATGGCAAGGCCAGCCTCTTGCAGAAAAACGTTACAGTTTCAAACTGATGTGATAGAAATACATCCTTAATGTACAGGCCCTGTTTCTCGAAATCTTAACTAAAGATAAAATCCAAATTTTAGTAGATACTTTAATTTTGATTGGCTAAGAGCATAAATCAATCTAATATTATCCAATCAAATTACTAAAATTTGGATTTTAACTTAGTTAAAATTTCGTGAAACAAGCCCCTGATATAACTATCTCTGTGACCATTATAGAGGTGTTTATTAACAGAAACCAGTAGTACTCAGCCTTAAACCAGGGAGTTAGAAATTTAGAAGTTCTAACTCCCCGTTTCAACTTTCACTTTGTGATTTCGGAAAAATACGGATTTATTTACTGTTTTGCATTTTAACCGCTCGATGCTTTTAACATTTTGTTATTAGATTTATGTCGTATTTTTAAACTGTGTAGACGAAATGAAATGAAATGAAATTTAACGTCCAACTGTTCTGCTCCAACTAGGCTATTGAAGGCGGGCATACGCCATATAGTGTGCTATGAGGGAAATTTTGCCCAAACAGCATCATTACGTCCTACTCTTATTATTATTATTATTACAGCATATTTATAGTGCACCCTTTCATATAACATGTTCAGGGTCACTTTACAAAGTGACAATGTAAATCACACATAAACAACAAGATTATGGGTTATATCGAATTCCAACTGTCAATGTGTACACGGGACCTCGGTTTTTTGTCCCTTGCCAATCCATCGGTCCTGCACCACTGCCGAGGGGGAACCACACCGAAAAATCCAGATGAACTTTCTCGGCCAATGCAAGAATCGAACACCCGACCTCCAGGTTAGCGAGCCAACGTCTTACCCGACTAGCTATCATGGCTTCCGAAGCTGTGTCGACGATCTGGAATCCAAACAAATTAAAGAAAACACGAGACTCATCGTGTTGGGGGCGACGCTCTTCGAAAAAGCCGAAGTACGTTCATTGAACGATTGCACATGCGTAATCATAATGCTTAATTAAAGAGGAGTTCTTCGTCCGGCAACAGTAGTTTTCGAAGGTCTTGGTAGATACATCCTATTAATACACCTGTTGGAAGTTGGCAAAAAATGAAAGGATGTTTGGTTGAGTAAATTCGATGGTTGGCTAAATCGTAAAACCCAAGACCGGTCCCTCTTAAGACTTTAAACAATGTAACTTCCCCTCTACGTGCACCTAAAATATATATAAGGTATTGAAAGCTTTGTTAAGAATTTAGGTTAACTTTGAACTATTCATGGATGCTTAATTTGCATATTTTTGATATGGCTTCTTGCCGAATGTATGACAACTCATCCCAATTCACTCGACCGAAGACCAATCGGACCACTCGAAGACCATTCGCACAAAGATGAAGACCACTCGGACCTGCTGCCCGGGCAAAATTTCCCCCATAGCACACTGTATGGCGTATGCTCGTCTTCATTAGCCCAGTATAGGAGCAGAACGGTAGGACGTTAAACTCCATTTCATTTCATTTCATTTCAGGTTCTGAAGACCACTCGGACCAATCATCCCACAATAGTTGTGTTTGTTATAATACATGGTCCGAGATAGAAGACCACTCGGGCCTAATTAAAATAAAATACTATCCCTTCATCACTTCCATATCACTTCTACCTTCTTTATTTCATGGAGCCACGGTGGCACAGTGGTTAAGACGCCGACTCGCTAGCCTGAAGGTCGCTTGTTCGATCCCTGCATTAGCCGAGAAAGTTCATCGGGATTTTCTGGCGTGGTTTCCCCTTGGCAGTGGTGCAGGACGGAAGGCCTGCCATGGACAGCTGTCTAGTCGTTCGGATGTGACAAAAAACCGAGGTCCCGTGTACACATTGGCGTACTCTGTAAAAAATCCCCTGACAGTTGGAATTCGATATAAGAGTAGGCCACAGTCCCGCTGCCCAGGCAAAATTTCCCTCATAGCACACTGTGTGGCGCATGCCCGTCTTCATTAGCCTATAATCGGAGCAGAACAGTAGCGCGTTAAACCCTATTTCATTTCATTATTTCATTTGAAAATTTGAAGTGTTGTTATATATGGGCGTGTGGTAGACGTGAACACTACATTAAATGTATCCATGGTCGGATCCAGAGAGGGGGGGGGGGGCGCTCAGCTAAATTTGTTTTTAAACAGTACCCTAATGAGAAGAGTGTCACGGTCGTGTGCTTTATCCTTTATCATCAGGTGGGGGGATGGGATGGGCATTCAAGGCCCGATATAATGATACTGACTTAGGCTCGCTAGCCTGGAGGTCGGGTGTTCGATCCCTGCATTCGCCGAGAAAGTTCATCCAGATTTTCCGGCGTGTTGTCCCTTGTCAGTGATGCAAGACAGGGGGGCTGAAAAGGACAGCTGTCTAGTCGTTTGGATGGGACGAAAACGCGAGGTCCCGTGTACACATTGGCGTGCACGTAAAAGATCCCCTGACAGTTGAAATTCGATATAAGAGTAGGTCTTAGTGTCGTTGTTTTGCGTGTAGTACGGTCCTCCTGTATTTGCTATTAAGGATTGTGAGTTATCCCCCTTTAGACTGGATACCCTGCTCTAAATGACGTCATGTTTGTCCTACTTATAACGTAAGTAATAGTTATAATGATAATTCATCGCACGTAATCAAGAATGCACATCACGTAATGACATAACCACATCACATAATGACAGTAGCACATGACCTAAAGAGTTTTCACAGCTAGACACCTGTGGAGTTAGTGAACAACAACAAAAAAATATGTGTACCTACTTTGTGTTTAACCTGCGAGAATTATGTTAGTTTGATCTAAATAACTCGTGGGTAGGATAGGAATGTGACAAAGTGTTCTATAACTTTCATCAAATTGAACGATCATTTTAAGTCCTTACTTAAAAGATACATAAGCAAATGAACATTAACACCAATGGCAAATTTGTAACTTATTTATATTCACATAAATCTAATAAACATCGCAGCATCCAGTATCACAACGACACCAATTGTAATTGTAACTATAAATATCCCGACAGCACCCAGTGCCTCGGCAGACGGCCTCATATCTTCAACGAATGTTACACTCGGAATGTGATTTGATATGTAAACGTCCAAGAATTATTACACAGTCTGTGGTCACAGAATTATACAGTCGCATAGAAATGAAAAAGCCACATCCTTATATTTCAAATAGCATGTGCAGCATGATTTGGAATGAATTATACGGTTTAACGTCTTACTGTACTCTTATATCGAATGCTAATGCTTCTCTTACGTGCACCGCCAATGTGTACACGGGACCTCAGGTAGTCGTCCCATCCGAACGGCTATAATGTTGTCCTCTGCAAGGCCCTCAGTCCTACACCACTGACAAGGGGGGTGGGGTACTCCGAAAAATCGCAATGAATTATTTAGGCCAACACCGGGATCGAAGACTGAGGCACCCTGTGCAGCATAAAGCAGCCACATGTATTAAACTTTGGTATGATGAGGTCGTGGTAATTCATCGAAGTCTATCGTTCTTTCCATTTTAGACCATCGAACTTTCTGGAATCGTCATTTGGAAACTTCGAGAAACCATGGAAACAGTGTTAAGAACTTTATCCATCGGGTGATAATTTTAGGGATCAAACTCAGCCACCAGTTCAATACACCCTTTAAATAAATAAAAGATCAACAGAAATCATATTTCAAAAAAAACATACATAGGTGAAACTAAATCTGATATTGAATAAAAGAGCTGTAAAAATTCGATTTTAAGACAGGATAGTGTTGCCTATAAGCCAAACCACTTTAACTATTTAGACCTCGTCGGTTAAAGGTTAGCGTTAATTGCGCATTGGCACGAGCCGTCAGTTTGACAGGAAGAAAGCTTGGCTGGCGATTTTAACATCCATTTCTCACCCTTTGTTCGTTTTTACCATGTCGCAATGTAACAGGTTAGCCTGTTATTAATAGCCTGTGATCATTGTCGCCATTATCCGGGGACAAGCAACTCTCTGTTCATTATATTTTTTAAAGTGAATCCTAGACAGTATTATTTTAAGCAGTCAAGCGGCTTTCATTATATTTTTGAAATTGAATCCTTGTCAGTCATTTTGTTTAAAGTTAGCTTTAAGTTTGTAATTGATATTATGTATATTCGTTGTTATATGAGCTGGGACAAGAGATTGAATAACTACATAAATAACAAAATGAATACACGGTGGGTGCAGATATTTAACTACGATGAAAATATTTCACACTTACCTGAGCACTGATCCAGGATCTTTATTACCGAACTAAACAATTTTTCAAATCTTTTCCCGTTTTCGTTCGTGTTCATTTTTTTCGGCTTCATAGTTGTTTTGGTATTAGCTCTCAAAAGGTGGAGGACAAGGAAAGATATGTTATAGAAATACAAACGAATTCATAAAAAATATGGATAATTTAAAATCTGAAACGGCGAGGTAATACCGACAAGGAGGAACTATAGCTTAGATTTTTTAGAAACCTCACAGATAAGAATAAATGTATATATATATATATATTTCTTATTAACACATATAAGAATTCACTTCAGGCCAGTGATTTGATTGTAATTAAAGACGGTGCCAGTAGTTACAATATACTTTTTAAAATGTCCATTTAAAACAGTTTATATGTGCATAAAGTGCTAAATATACACGGTTTTTATACAATTCAAATACATTCTACTATTCAATATTATTTTTCAGATATCTATATAAAGTTTTACATGAAATCATGAAGTTCTTTTGTCAGAGTTCCACTTTTTAAAATGTGCTTACAGGAAGTGCCTGTCAAAGGACGATTTCAATTTTATCTACATGTATTATTCTCTTCTGAAATAGAAATGGGATAATACTGTAGATTACATTAAATTCAACGTGTAACTATATATTTTAATGGATACTATAAATGACATGTGCTAATGCATGTAAACAATATAATAGATCAAATCTATAAAGCCGGGGTGGTTTTAGATTGTTGAAAATAATGATTATTAATCGTATTAATCGGCAATATTTCATAGCTTAAGTACACCCCTGGGTGCCACTGCACACAAATCAACCTTGTTGAATTAGTAGACACTATTCTCCACAAGTGTTAAATCAGTGGAGGTTTTTGTTTATTATTCCCGAACTGTTGATAAACCATAAGCCCGAATTAACCTGTTGTATCTCCGCAGCGTTAAAGGACATCTTTTTTAGAGGATTTAAAGCCGCTAAATCGCCATTCTTTGGCACCTAGACATATACACAAATGGCTCGCAACTCATATAATAATGTAATATGAATGAATCTACTGTAATTTCTAATCAATTATGTTCGGCGAAATAAGCGAAGAGTCCAAATTGAATGGCAGTCTTTGGCGTATGGTTATTCCAGTCTACACAGACTGCGAAAGATCTATCACCGGAGTTGGTGTTGAGAAGGTATCTGAGGTATTGTGGTGAAGAATCGTAGTCCAGTCTAGATGTAACCATAGCTTTTAGTCGTGTCACTATCAATGAAAGACCTAATTTTTCCAATATTAAATAAATCTGAAAATTAATACTTTTACACATGGCCGAAATTTGTCTATTCATGTCCAGATTAGAGTCAAAATAAACATCAAGATATTTTTTTACAGAATCTAAGATGGTTCAGAAGAAGGCTCAATAGCTATATAAATTTGAGTGTAGTCGTCGTACAGATGCTAGTTAAGACCGTGTTTACAGATGACATTTCCTAAAGATATTGTGTATGTAGTAAATAATAAAGGACCCAGAACGGAATCCTGTGGCACGCCATACTTTAAAACCGTTGAGTTGGATGGGCAACCTTTGATAACAACTGTCTGTGTACGGTTTTCAAGGTATGACTGGAACCATGTTGTTCAGCAATCTGTTAAAAATAATTTGGTGGTCTATCGTGTCAAAGGCAGCATTTAGATCAAGCAGGACTAGTACTGATGTTTGTTTCTTACCCATTTCGTTTAGTAAGTCATTTTGAACTCGTAATAAAGCGGTGTCAGTGCTATGTTGTTTTCTATATGCAGATTGGAATACTTCGTTGAGGTTATTTTTTTATGAAAATCTCTTTTAAATTCGGATGCAACAGCTTTCTCAATATTTTTTGAAAGAAAAGAAAGATTAGAAACCGGTCTGTAATTCTTTAGTAATTCTTTATCAAGGTTGGGCTTTTTTAGTAGCGGAAACACTAACTCCGGCATAAAACCAGAAGCCACAGCGGAATTTACAACATGCGTGATAGCTGGGACCATCACGTCAAGACACTGTTTTAGTAGCCAAGTACGAATGGGATCTAGGGTGCACCATGCTGATGCTTTGATGATCTTATTTATATCCAGATTAGATACGGTTCTAAATGATCAGAGTTGCACGCCAGAGTAAATATTACTATCCTGAGAGTCACCTAGTAGAATTGTTCCAAGACTTGGTCGTATAGTATCAACTTTGGTTGTGAAAAAATTAACAAAATCATTTACCAAAACCTTAAGAGTCAGGATTTACTGGGAGAGTCTGTTCTGGCCCGTCTTTATTTAGAATTTTATTACCACGATTCTCAAGAATACCGTCCATAATATGGCGACGTTTTGAATTTCTTATTGTAATACTAGTCTCATTTTTACATTT